CATCTTATCTGTCAATTGACTAGGCTATAGGATACCCAGATATATGGTCAAACATTTTTCTGGGTTTTGGGGATGGCATTAATAAAGCAGGTTGCCCTCCCCAGTATGGGTGAGTCTCATCCAATCAGTTGAAGGCCTGAATATAACAAAAAGGCAAAGTAAGAATTTCTCCTGCCTGATGGCCTTCGAACTGGAGCATCAATTTTTACTGTCCTCTGATTTCATTAGCTCTTCCTGGGTTTCAAGCTTGCTGTCCTCTAGATTAGAAGTATCATTAGCTCACTTTTGTCCCCAGCTTACAGACTTGCTCTTCCTTACAATAAATTTCTTTCTGTGCATATTTTTCTCTGGAGAAGTCTGACTAATACAATAGGGAATACATTAAATAAATTATAATACACATTTTAGGAATAGTATTAAGCTATAAAAAATGAGGAATCCCTGCCTATTGATAGGGAAAGATATCTAGGACATACTAAGAGAATAATAATAAAGGTATGGAACAGGATATATTTTATGATAGATTTGCATAAAAGATGAGGGGAGTAAAGGATGTACATTTGTAATTGCTTATATGTGCATTAAGAAACAGTAAAAAGAAACCCAAAAATATAAAAATAAAACTATTCTACTGAGAAGCAAAGTGAACCAGAACAATATTTCTACATGAACACTTTGTCAGTCCTTTTGAGTTTTTAATTATATGAATATATTATTTATTCAAAATATTTAAATGAAAAATAAATGGTGGTATTTATCATATTATCCTAATTTATTTATTTTGTACCACTCATCATTATCTGATGCTTTCTTGTTTAATTATGTGCTTATTTGGCCCTCTCTTTCAACAGGGATCAGCAAATCACTGACCCATGGGCTAAATCTAACATGCTTATTATTTTATAAATGAAGCTATAAGAAGATGATTCATAGTGGGATAGGGAGAGGGAGCATGAGAGGAATAGAAAAACTCTAGATAGGGCAGAAGGGTTGGAGGGGAAGGGAGGGGTCATGGGGTTAGAAATGATAGTGGAATGTGATAGTCATTATTATCCAAAGTACGTGTATGAAGACACAAACTGGCATGAATATACTTTGTATACAACCAGAGATATGAAAAAATGTGCTCTATATGAGTAATAAGAATTGTAATGTATTCCACTGTCATATATAAATATAAATAAATAAATAAACACCACCATGTCCCCTCATTTACATATTTCTAAGGCTGCTTTTGTGTAATAGCACCCAAGCTGAGTAGTTGTTTCTTAGAACCCCTACAAAGCCTAAAAATCTTACTCTCTGGCCTTAAAAAAAAAAAAAAAAAAACCAATAAAAAACTTTGCACATACTGGCTCAAGAATGTGAACTCCTTTCTAATAAAATGTAAGAGCAGAAAGCTTATTTGGTCTCCACTCAAGAAGAGTGTCTAGTATATATTAGATACTCAAGAAATACTTTCACAAATTGAGTTGTGCAGGAAACAAACCCCAAGGTGGAGACAGGTGGGCAGAGGGTCAGCAGGGAGTGTTCCTAGGACATCACTTGAGAAGGGGAGAGGAGCAGGCTTGGGCAGAGCGAGAAGTAAAGCTCCGGGCAGACTCCATGGAATACTTTGCCTGATTGACAGAGGGTTCTGAAGATGGTAAGAACTTGGAGCTAAGGGAGTTGAGAGGACTGGGCTTTTAGAGTCCCAGTTGGATCTGCCATTGGACGTGGGCCAACCTGGGAAGGAGGTGATCTTGAGAGAAGAAGCTTTCTTTAGACAAATCTACTCCTGAAGCAGTGATGCCAGCTGAGGGCCTTCTGTAAGATTGCCTTTCCTAACAACTCTGCCAGCAGCACTTCCAACAGCTGGGGGTAATAATTCCTTAAGTCCTGGGGGGAAAGGGGTGTAACATATCATGCTTCATAAATGTGAACTGAATAAACAACCATATGAGTGTTTGTATGCATCTGCTCCAATGATAATGCCAGCTCTTTGGGAAGTATCATTCCAAATGTGATTATGTTTTTTTCTTATCGTGATTTTATCCTCATAATCTTTCTTTGGACTTTTCTGTATATGTCTGAGTTTGTGTCCTCTCAGAGGCAGACTCTGAGATAATAACTGGAGCTCAAGTCATTTTCTTTTTTTAGATTCAGGAAAAGCATTTTATTTTATTTTATTTGTTGTTCAAAACATTACAAAGCTCTTGACATATCATATTTCATACATTAGATTCAAGTGGGTTATGAACTCCCATTTTTACCCCGTATACAGATTGCAGAATCACGTCGGTTACACATCCACATTTTTACATAATGCCATATTAGTAACTGTTGTATTCTGCTGCCTTTCCTAACTTCTACTATCCCCCCTCCCCTCCCCTCCCATCTTCTCTCTCTACCCCATCTACTGTAATTCATTTCTCTCCTTGTTTTTTTCCCATTCCCCTCACAACCTCTTATATGCAATTTTGTGTAACAATGAGGGTCTCCTTCCATTTCCATGCAATTTCCCTTCTCTCTCCCTTTCCCTCCCACCTCATGTCTCTGTTTAATGTTAATCTTTTCCTCCTGCTCTTCCTCCCTGCTCTGTTCTTAGTTGCTCTCATTATATCAAAGAAGACATTTGGCATTTGTTTTTTAGGGATTGGCTAGCTTCACTTAGCATAATCTGCTCTAATGCCATCCATTTCCCTGCAAATTCCATGATTTTGTCATTTTTTAGTGCAGAGTAATACTCCATTGTGTATAAATGCCACATTTTTTTATCCATTCATCTATTGAAGGGCATCTGGGTTGGTTCCACAGTCTAGCTATTGTGAATTGTGCTGCTATGAACATCGATGTGGCAGTATACCTGTAGTACGCTCTTTTAAGGTCTTCAGGGAATAGTCCGAGAAGGGCAATAGCTGGGTCAAATGGTGGTTCCATTCCCAGCTTTCCCAGGAATCTCCATACTGCTTTCCAAATTGGCGGCACCAATTTGCAGTCCCACCAGCAATGTACAAGAGTACCCTTTTCCCCACATCCTCGCCAGCACTTGTTGTTGTTTGACTTCATAATGGCTGCCAGTCTTACTGGAGTGAGATGGTATCTTGGGGTGGTTTTGATTTGCATTTCTCTGACTGCTTCAAGTCATTTTTGTGAGACACAGAGAACAAACATAGGGAAGGCGGAACAGTCAGTCCCACTGGCCATGGACAATACAGAATCATGTTATTCAAAGTGGGGTTCAGGGAATAGTCCCATCCAGGAACTGTCTTTGACTGCCACTGAGTTTATAACTACTGTTGTGATCAATTGCACCCTATTTTGGTCCTTGGCTTCTGATCAGAAGTAAGCAGATAATTTCCCCCCACAAACTCCAAATCATCGTTACCTCCCTTTAACTTTAGATTGAAAAGTTATGCTGGTATTTAAATGCTCCAGAGTAATTTGGAGCAAATACTGCCTTTCCTTTGTTCCTTTCCCTAACAATAAAACCAAACTACCAGCTTAGACATTATCAAGTGGAAAGTGTAAGTTTGCCTTTCCTAACAACTCTGCTCTAAGAATGGTTAGTTTCACCTTCCCTCACTCTCCTATCAAGCATCACTATGCATTGCCATCAATACCAGGAAGGCAGAGAGAGAAATGAAATTGTCAACCCCTTGAGGGCTGAGAGCATGGCTCAGTGGTAGACTGCTTAGCACCACAAAACCAAAGTCATCTACAGCATTTTTCACCCATGTGGGAGATTGCAACCACATAACCATATCTTTCCAATCTGAGGATAGTGATTTTCCACAATTTTTTTTCGGAGAGGGTGAAATACTTCCCATCTCAAACGTAAGTTCTAGCCTTTGAAGCTAAAGAATCTATATTTCTCATTTTAAAACAATGGTTCCTATGGGAACAAAGTATCATTTTCTCTTAGCAACCACTGCAGCTTTTACAGCATTGATAAACTTGGTTTCAACACAAAAGTACTTTCAGTAAGAGCTTATTGTTACTGTAAAACCAAGCTTACTGTAGTATAAATTTAAAAAAAAAAAAAGCGTCCTGCCAGGATTGGTGGTACATGCTTATTATCTCAGTGCATTGAGGGGCTGAGGGAGGAGGATTGCAAATTTGAAGTCATCCTTGGTAGCTTTGTAAGACCCTGTCTCAAAATAAAAAGATAAGGGCTGGGAATATAGGCCCGTGGTAAAGTACCCTTGGGTTCAATCACCAATACCAAATAAATAAATAAATAAATAAATCCTAAGAAATTACAAAATTGCATATAAATTATATCTATGTAAAAATAAAATATGAACAAAACAGAGATTTCAAAGAAACATCAAAATAGTAACTTACTTGCTTCATGTCTATATTTTCTAAATTTTTGTTTGTGTATTTTAAAAGTGCAAAAAAGATAAAGACACTATATAGTTGGGGTTTAAATTATAGGTGGTGGATGAGAGTATCATCTAGAGCAGTGAAAGCTAAGCTGGGCATCGGAGCACCTTCTTCTAGCTCTGGCTTTATGATGATGCTACTGAGTGGCAGGTCCCAAATTACTTATCCATTGGTCTCAGCCTCTTTCTGTGAAAAATGATATCTAAGTTTCTTTTGAACTCTAGAATTCAATGATGCTTACCATTTTACTTCTCCATAATAATTTATATATGGAATTTAAACCCCATGTTGAAGCAATTCTCAGACTTTATTGAGTGAGCATAAAAATCACTAGAGGAGCTTTTCAAAAACGGACACCTGCGATGCAACCTTATAGATTTCTCCATCAGTAGTGTAGACTGTTACCCAGACATTTGTATTTTCAATCTGAGTCCCTAGAAGCTTCTAACGTAGCCACATTTGAGATCTACTATAATGCCACATTTTCTGTACAAGTCTAGAAATCTTAAGAGTTGTCTCATAAAAGAAACTATTTGGCATAACTTGAGACTTCCTTGAGATCATGCAACATTAAGTGGTACAATTGGGGCAGATTTTGTCCTAAAATATTTAACTCAGGCTCATCTACTCACCCCATTCACCTTGTTAGGTTAATCTTCAATCTGGGCTTCATCAGTATTTTTTCACATCTTTGAAACGTCACTCTGTACCATCTGTACCATCCTGGGTGACTCATCTGTGAAACACAGCAGACTCCCTTCACGTGCTGAGCCTGATTCGGCAGCGTGCACGCTTTTCCACAGAAGCAACAGAAGCGATGCTTGTATTAGTGTGTGCGACAGCAGCAGATCTTTGGTGATGCGAAAGCAAACCCTAAAACATGGAGATAAAAATATGACAAGTTTGTAAATTATCATGTGTCTAATACTTCAGAAAAGTCCATACCCCACGTGTTGACAGTCAAAAAACAAAAACCGACAGGCTTTAGTTGGAACCTTTTCTCTCCAATGAATATGAACCCCATACCGGTGAGTAAAAGGGCAAAGTCCTTACAGAAATGTTGCTTCTCAAAGATAAGCAAATTTTAAAATTTCAGAACAGAAGCATCTTTACTGGATATGCACAACAAAGAGACTGTTTTAGTTTAATAGCCAGTAGAAAGCAGTTCAATGATTGTAGGATGCTGTTTCCATATGGACTGTTAGTGGGAGAGGTATCTATATCTTGGTGCTTTCATTGCTCAACTAAGGTCTCTTTAAACATATCATGGGTTTAAGAAAACTATAGGTAATCATTAAGATTAGAGTGGAAATCAATGAAATTAAGATAATGAAAACAATACACAGATCAATGCAACAAAGAGTTGGTTCTTGAAAAGATAAATAAGATTGACAAAACTTTAGCCAAAATATCCAAAACAAAGAATGAGAAGATCCAAATTAACGAGATCAGAGGTGGAAAAAGAGATATCACCACAGACCCTTCTGAAATCCAGAGGATTATCAGAACCTATTTTGAAAATTTATACTCCAATAAACTGGAAAATTTGGAAGACACTGACAAATTTCTAGACACACGTGACCTGCCCACAATGAATCTGGAAGATATAGAAAACCTAAACAGACCAATATCAAGTAATGAAATTGAAACAGCAATTAAAAGTCATCCAAAAAAGAAAAGCCCAAGACCTGATGGTTTCTCAGATGAGTTCTAGCAGACCTTTACAGAAGAACTGACACCAGTTTTTCTTAAATTATTTCATGAAATTGAAAGAGAAGAAACTCTCCCAAATACATTTTATGAAGCCAGCGTAATCCTAATACAAAAAAAAAAAAAAGACACATCAAGGGGAAAAAAAAGCTACAGACCAATATCCCTGATGAACATAGATGCAAAAATCTTTAATAAATAATAGCAAACCACATTCAAAAATACATCAAAAAAATAATAGACCATGATCAAGTGGGTTTGATTCCAGGGATGCAAGGTTGGTTAAACACATGCTAATCAATAAATGTAATTCACCATTTAAACAGAATTAAGGACAAAAAACACATGATCATTTCCATAGATGCAGAAAAATCTTTGATATAATTCACACCCATTCATGTTAAAAATGCTTGAGAATTAGGGATTGAAGGAATTTACCACACATTGTAAAGATCATTTATGACAAGCTCAAAGCCAACATCACACTTAATGGAGAAAAACTAAAAGCATTTTTCCTAAAAGCATGAAGAAGACAAGGCTGTTCACTCTCACCACTCCTACTCAATATAGTCCTCAAAAATGTTAGCCAGAGATAGGGAGGAAGAGCATGAGAAGAAGACTACCACTAAATAGGGAAGAGAGGTGGGAGGGAAAAAGAGGGAGAAGGGGAGTTACACAGAAGATGGAAGGAGAACCTCATTGTTATACAGAATACATATATGATGTTGTAATGAGAAAAAAATGTGTCACATTACATTGGATAGAGAGAAAGGATGGGAGAGGAGGGGAGGAGTAGGGAGGATAGGAAGGGCAGCAGAATAGAATAGACAATATGATTGATGTATGTACATTCCATGTATGTATTATATATCAAAATGCATTCTACTGAATCAAAGTGTGAAATATGATATATCAAGAACTATGTAATGTTTTGAACAACCAACAATAAAAATTTTAAAAAAAGAACTAAGCAAAGTAAAAAAAATGCATTCTACTGTCATGTATGACTAAAAAAATAAATAAATAAAAATTAAAAAAAGAAAAAAAAAACGTTAGCCGGAGAGATAAGGCAAGATAAAGAAGTCAAAGGGATACAAATAGGAAAAGAAGAAGTCAAACTATCTCTATTTGCTGACAATATGATCCTATATCTAGAAAACCCAAAACTCTACCAGAAGACTTCTAGAGCTTATAAATGAGGTTAGTAAAGTAGCAGGATACAAGATCAACACCCATAAAGCAATAGCTTTCCCATACTCCAATAATGATTCAGCCAGGGAAAAAAATCAGGAAAACCATCCCATTTACAATAACCTCAAAAGAATTAAATACTTTGGAATTAATCTAACACAGGAGGTAAAGGAGAAAATTATAGAATATGGAAGAAAGTAATTGAAGAAAACCTTAGAAGATGGAAAGACATCCCTTGTTCTTGCATAGGCAGAATCAATGTTGTGAAAATGGTCATACTACTAAAAGCAATATACAGATTCAATGCAATCCCCAACTAAATACCAAAGACATTCTTCACAGAATTAGAAAAAACAATTCCTAAATTCCTTTGGAAGAATAAGAGACTTAGAATAGCCAAAGCAATACTAAGCAAGAAAATCAAAGCAGGAAGCATCAATACCTGAGCCTGAGCCTATAGGAGCCTCCAATACCTGATCTGAAAGAAACACAAATAGCCAACAAATATATGAAAAATTTTAAACATCTCTAGCAATTAGAGAAATGCAAGTCAAAAGTATACTAAGATTTTATCTCACTCCAGTCAGAATGCAATGACCAAGAAAATGAATATCAATAAATGATGGTAACATTGTGGGAAAAAATGGGACACTTTACATGGTTGGTGGGACAGCAGATTAGTCTACTCTGGAAAGAAGTAAGGATATTCCTCATGAAGTAGGGATGAAACCATCATACGACCCAACTATCCCATTTCTTGTTGTTTTTCCCAAAAGGTTGGCATTTCAGAGTGACAATAGTTACCTCCATGTTTATAGCAGCATAATTTATAGTAGTTAAATTATGGAGTCAAGCCATACCTCCAGCAATAGATTGGTGGATTAAGAAATTGTGATATATATATATATATACAATCTACTCAATCCTGAAAAAGGATAAAATTATGGCAGTTTATTGCCATTAAATGGATGAAAATGAAGAATATCATGCTAAGTGAAATAAGCCAAATTAAGAAAATCAAAGGTCCAGTGTTTGCTCTCATATGCAGAAACTAGAGTAAAATTAAGGAAAAAAAATATAGGATAACATAAAGAACAAATCAAACATAAACTAATACATGAGCAAAAGGAAGTCTAGTAAAGGAAGGAGAATGGGAGAGGAGGGAAGATGGGAGGAAAAAGGGAGGATCATGAACTCAACTTCCATTCATGTATGAGTTTGTCAGGATGAATCCAACTACTATGTGTAACTATAAAGCTCTAATTTAAAAAAAAAAAAGGAAAACTATGAATTTAAAAAAACAGACTACATAAAACATGAAGTAGGACATAAACACATTTCAGTTGTGTTCTTACCTTTACAAAGTTTATTTACATAAACTTTGAAAATAAATATTTCATTCAGAAATTAAAATATCATTGGATCTACTGGTTCCATTTCTTGATCTGAGTGCTGGTTATATGGGTGTGTCCACTTTGAGAAACTCCCTTGAGCTATGTACACTTAGGATTCGTGCATTTTACAATAAGTATGCTGTATCTCAGAAAAAAGTTTACCTAAAACTTCATTGGATTTATAATACAGTAGGCATACAACTTTTCACGAATGCAGAGCTATTCTGTCTTTTGTAAATGGCATGGTACAAAACCAACTAAGGAAGGAAAAATGGAACAGGACGGGTCTCTGAAATATAATGAATGAGAATATATAAAATAAGAAGGAAGAACCCAGAATATAAAGTGTAACTCAGTGTACATAAGATGATGTGGACATCTAATGTTGCCATTCTTAGGGTAATGTCAGTGCTATTATTATTAGTTTCCTTTATTTTAAAAAAAAGATCAATTATATATATATATATATATATATATATATATATATATATATATATAGTATATGTGTATGTATGTGTGTATTTGTACATATATGTACACATATATATGTATATGCACACGTATGTGTGTATATAATCTGTGTGTGTGTGTGTGTGTGTGTGTACTCAGTGCCATGAAGCAGTATAATTTTTCCCACAAGACTGGACCTCCATTTCAAAGGAAGTGGTATGACATCCTAGAAGTCAGGAGTCAAATATTGAATCTGCCCCTTATTAGCACTATGTCATTGGGCATACCAATCTATCTAAGTCCTAATTTATTGGAAGATAATAAAACATCTTGTGGGATTATTGTAAACATTAGGCAAATAATACTTTTGAAGTACTAGTTCAATATATAGATTTAATAATAGTAACTATTATTGTTGTTCCTGGCTCACGATGTGAAAAATTTGAAGAAAATATTGTGTTTCCATTTGGAATTACATAAATTTATTTTTATCATTATTATTGTTATTATTATTATTAATACTGTGTATATATATATGTGTGTGTGTGTGTGTGTGTGTAATGCTGGGGATGGAACACAAGGGCCTCAGGCACACTAGGCAAATGCTCTATCAGTGAGCTATGTTCCCATTCTCTTTTTATTTTATTTTAAGGGAGTGTCTCACTAAGTTGCCAGGCTGGCCAAGGCTCTTCCTCACACCCCTGAGTATCTAGGATTACAAGCGTGCACCACTGCTCACAGCTCAGAATTACTCAAATTTGTCCTAATGGAAAATTGAATGTTTGGGTCAAAAATTATTTGATTTTTTTCCATGGCAGCACTAAATAAAAACATTTTTAGGACCAACAAATTATTTCTTCATGCTGAAAGAGAGTAATTTGTTATTTCTCCCTTCTAAATTTTTACTAAAACATGGAACATGTAGCTAAAAGGCTTCTAGGTGGGTACTATTGATGTGTAAGTTCTTCGTAGTTAATATAAACCCTGGATTTACATTTCAATTTCCTTTACACCAGTTGCCTGAGTAGAATTTATCACCTTTGTCCTGATACACTCAGGAGGAGGGACAAGGTGAAAAGAACAGCCACACTTGTCAGATTATCTAAATGTGAAAATGTTTTTGAGCAA